AATAACCTTTAAATGGTTATACTGAAAATACGCAGTTTTAGAAAGCGGTTACTTTTGAAAGGATACAACCACAAAACAGTTATATTGAAAATGCGCAGCCCTTGGAAATAATGATAAAGTGGTTATATTGAAAAAACGCAAGCTTTGGAAATAATCATAAAAAGATTATTTTCGAAAAAACACAACCATAAAGCGGTTATCTACATATTAAATACAATATTTAAAAATAATTAGAAAGCAGTTATATCAAAAAGACGTAACTCTTGGAAATAACCATAAAATAGTTTTTTCCTAAATGACACAATCTTAAATAACCATAAAACGGTTATATAACTTTTGAAAAAGAGGTTATATAAAAAAAGACAACTCTTAGAAATAATTATAAAACAGTTATATTGAATAAACGCAATCTTTCAAAATAACCAATAAACGTTTTTTTTCGAAAATACATAATTTTTGGAAATAATTATAAAGCGGTTATTTTTGAAATAACACAACCATAAAGCAGTTATCTATATAGTAGATGCAACTTTTAGAAATAACCACTATACGGTTATATCGAAAAACACAACTCTTAAAAAACGGTTATATAAAAAAGATGCAACCCTTGGAAATAACCATTAAACGGTTATTTCTGAAAAGACACAACTTTAAATAACCATAAAGCGGCTATATCGAAAATGCAACTCTTGTAAAATCGGTTATATGGTAAAAACGCAACCCTTGGCAAAAAAACATTTTTCCTTCCTCACTCATTTCACGGATTGGAACCATAGCTATTCGTCTAATCAATAGAATAATTCATGGATTTTTACGCCATTTAAATTGATTCATTTTTAAATTAGAATTTTTAAATCGTCCAATGCATATAAGAAAATATAGTTGATAACCAAATTACTTGTGGGTGCCTCTATTTTGTAGTAATGTTAACGCAACTTCAATATTTCGATGTATATAACCCGTAAAAACTTCTTTCAAACATGAAAAAATCAATATTTCCGTAAAGAATTGTTAGATTTTATTAGTTTTTTTTATATGTAAAATTTACCATAAAATCTACATTGGTTAAAAAATCCAAAATTGTTTACACAAATCAAGAATTTTTGGAACTTTTACAATAGTAAAAAGTTTAATACTATTATATAATTTAAAAATAATCGAATGACTTTTTTTTATCTTTGCTATGTGTTAAGTTAATTACTGAAACAGTAGGCTTGATTAACAAAATGTTCAACGAGATAAAAAGTAAAAAGATACACTCTCTCCGTTTCAAAATATAAGTTGTTTTAGTTAAAGTCGCGAATATTAATTAAAAAAATTACTTTTCTTTTAAAAAAATATGATTTAATATATATAATACAAATAATTTACCAAATTAAAAAAAAAGACTGCAGAATATTATTGGTCACACAATATTCAGTAAAATTAAAAAACTACATAAAATTGTTAAAACAACTTATATTTTGAAATTAAAAAAAATCTCCAAAACAACTTAGATTTTGAAACGGAGAAAATATATATATAGGCGAAACAATTTGTTTTGAAAAGATGCAACTCTTGATAAAATGGTTATAAATTATAAATTTATTATTGTTTGGTGTGTTTTTTTAATGCAAAGTTTATTGTTTGGTACTATAAAAGCAAATTAACGTTAATATGTGTCGGTCAATCTCTTTCGCTATGTTCTTAGTATCATATAATTATTTAATGTTTTATTAATACTAATAAGTAACAACTATAAGATGCTTTTTCTATCCTTGTTAAAAAAAACAACTATAAGATGCTTTAGCCTATTAAAATAACTGTATATAAATTGGTAGTCATTTTGTAGTTTTTTCTTGTCTTCTTGTGTCAAATCGAAACCATTTCACACGCCAATATCTTTTAGTTTGCAATAGAGATAATAGGTCCATGTACCTTTCAAAAATGTAATATGTTCTTGTCATTTATTGGGAAAAAAATGCTAATTATTCTCT